CATGCTGATCTTTTCTTTTCAATGAAAGTGCATGGGGATAAACAATGTTGAGCTCCAAAAATTAACAAATGGCACCATAAAAGTACCATAAAATTAGTCCATTTGACTTGTGCGCTATGTTCAGTCTTTCAAAACCATGTAAGTCTACGTGAGGATCAGACCGAAATCTAGGTCATCATTCATTGAAAACAGCTCTCAATTCCCATTCAGTTTCCATTTGAAATGAAATGAGTTCTGATTTTCCAAGTCTGAATATGCAAATGCAAATAAAATTTAAGAGCTTTGGCAAAAAGGCAATATTCTTTGTGAATTACTAAAACTTTGGTGTGTTCCTCACACAGAGCTACTGTATGGCTTCAGAAGAATACACAAGTCATATGACCTACTTTTATTTATTTATTAATTTAATTTAATTTATTAAAGCAGCGTGAACAATGCTAAACATCTCCTTTTGTTTTTCATGGAACAAAGGAAGTCACATGTTTGTAATGACATTAGAACAACTTTTGTCATTAGTAAATTACAAAATTTCTATTTGTGTGTTAATTAACCCTTTAATAACCCTGAGTAGATTGCATAGTCTATCTGGTAACTGGTTTACAAAAACATAAAATACTTATAAACTTATGCATATAGTGTAATGTCTTAAATATGTGTGACACTGAAGACCGGCTGAAAATTCAGTTTTACCATCACAGGAATAAATCACATTTTTTAAATATATTCAAATTCAAAACAGTTATTTTAAACTGTATTTTTATATCCCATATTTTGATCAAATTAATGCAACCTTGGTGAACATAAAATACTTTTTTTCAAAGACATTAAAACAATCTTACTGGCAATGTTAACCCATTTTACTGTGCTCTTGAATCCTCAACCACAGGTAGTAAACAACTGTAGACCTGCAATGGAGTCGGAGGTGCAGCTCTAATGGAGATCAGGTATTACAGCAGGAATGAGTCAAGCACATATCTGCCTCCATCTCTCCCTTTGTCTCACACCCTAGTCTGTCTCTCCCATTGTTTTTCCTCTGTTATCTCTCACTACATCTTTCTGCCTGTCCTCTCTTGCAGGGCTCTCTGTTCTCACAGTCTCCTTTCCCATCAACCTTCCACCTTCCACTTATTCACCTAATCCCTCGATCATCTTATTGGTATTAGTCAGTATTAAATTTTTTTTAACAGTGTTTGCTAGAGAAAGCATCACTTTTACTAAAGATCTTATTTCTAACAAACCTCTAACCACATTTATTAAATTTCAACACATATAACCCATCCTGTTTGTGCTATGGACATGATTGATACCTTAAATCATGCGGTTTTCTGAGGAGAGTTCTATTGTGACATTTCTAAGCAATCTTCATCATAATATTAGTCTAATAATAATAGTCTGTCATAAAAAAAGCTATAAGCCAGCAACCACCAAGAATACCCTGGTAACAAAAGCGCTAGGTAGATCTGGCTGCCTACCTATGGTATGATCTTTTGTTATCTTGCATTATTTAGCCTTGTTTGGGCATATAAAGGTTAAACAGCAAAGGTCCAATGATAGAGCCCTGAGGGACACCACATGCTATGTGGTTTTGTGGAGAGAAGTGTGTTGTGATGTTTCAAAGCAATCTCTCTTATGATTTTAGCCTACCATAGAAACATTTTTTAATAGAGAATTAAAATTGTCATCATTTACTCACCCTCACGTTGTTCCAAACCCATATGACTACTTCCCCATGCTGATCTTTTCTTTACAATGAAAGTGCATGGGGATAAACAATGTTGAGCTCCAAAAATTAACAAATGGCACCATAAAAGTACTATAAAATTAGTCCATTTGACTTGTGCGCTATGTTCAGTCTTTCAAAACCATGTAAGTCTACGTGAGGATCAGACCGAAATCTAGGTCATCATTCATTGAAAACAGCTCTCAATTCCCATTCAGTTTCCATTTGCATATTCAAACTCGCTGCCTCACTTTTTTTGCCTCTGATAAATGAAATGAGTTCTGATTTTCCAAGTCTGAATATGCAAATGCAAATAAAATTTAAGAGCTTTGGCAAAAAGGCAATATTCTTTGTGAATTACTAAAACTTTGGTGTGTTCCTCACACAGAGCTACTGTATGGCTTCAGAAGAATACACAAGTCATATGACCTACTTTTATTTATTTATTAATTTAATTTAATTTATTAAAGCAGCGTGAACAATGCTAAACATCTCCTTTTGTTTTTCATGGAACAAAGGAAGTCACATGTTTGTAATGACATTAGAACAACTTTTGTCATTAGTAAATTACAAAATTTCTATTTGTGTGTTAATTAACCCTTTAATAACCCTGAGTAGATTGCATAGTCTATCTGGTAACTGGTTTACAAAAACATAAAATACTTATAAACTTATGCATATAGTGTAATGTCTTAAATATGTGTGACACTGAAGACCGGCTGAAAATTCAGTTTTACCATCACAGGAATAAATCACATTTTTTAAATATATTCAAATTCAAAACAGTTATTTTAAACTGTATTTTTATATCCCATATTTTGATCAAATTAATGCAACCTTGGTGAACATAAAATACTTTTTTTCAAAGACATTAAAACAATCTTACTGGCAATGTTAACCCATTTTACTGTGCTCTTGAATCCTCAACCACAGGTAGTAAACAACTGTAGACCTGCAATGGAGTCGGAGGTGCAGCTCTAATGGAGATCAGGTATTACAGCAGGAATGAGTCAAGCACATATCTGCCTCCATCTCTCCCTTTGTCTCACACCCTAGTCTGTCTCTCCCATTGTTTTTCCTCTGTTATCTCTCACTACATCTTTCTGCCTGTCCTCTCTTGCAGGGCTCTCTGTTCTCACAGTCTCCTTTCCCATCAACCTTCCACCTTCCACTTATTCACCTAATCCCTCGATCATCTTATTGGTATTAGTCAGTATTAAATTTTTTTTAACAGTGTTTGCTAGAGAAAGCATCACTTTTACTAAAGATCTTATTTCTAACAAACCTCTAACCACATTTATTAAATTTCAACACATATAACCCATCCTGTTTGTGCTATGGACATGATTGATACCTTAAATCATGCGGTTTTCTGAGGAGAGTTCTATTGTGACATTTCTAAGCAATCTTCATCATAATATTAGTCTAATAATAATAGTCTGTCATAAAAAAAGCTATAAGCCAGCAACCACCAAGAATACCCTGGTAACAAAAGCGCTAGGTAGATCTGGCTGCCTACCTATGGTATGATCTTTTGTTATCTTGCATTATTTAGCCTTGTTTGGGCATATAAAGGTTAAACAGCAAAGGTCCAATGATAGAGCCCTGAGGGACACCACATGCTATGTGGTTTTGTGGAGAGAAGTGTGTTGTGATGTTTCAAAGCAATCTCTCTTATGATTTTAGCCTACCATAGAAACATTTTTGACTTTTTTAACTAGTAAGCAATTAGCCAGCAACCACCATGAATACCATAGCAACAACAGTGCTCTGTAGATCTGGCTGTCTACCCATGGTATGCTCTTCTGTTATGTTGCACTATTTAGCCTTGTTTGGGCATATACAGATTAAATAACAAAGGTCCAATGACCGAGCCCTGAGGGACACTACATGCCATGTGGTTTTCTGGACAAAGGTGTGATGTGATGTTTTAAAGTGATCTCACTTACGATTTTTTTTAGCCTATCATAGAAAACCTTTTGACATAAACTACCAACGATCTACTGACATCCTAATAACCATATAAGTGCTAATGATGACTAGGTACATTTTTGTCTTTACTCTTTCTTTCTGTTTGTCTCATGTTATTTCTATATCCCTCTGGTAATTGCTTATTTCCTTATCTATATCCATTGCCTGAATTCCGATCATCACTTATGTGAGAGTAAATGCCTGAAGAAAGTTCTTCCTGCGCATGTTCTACTGAAAACAGCAGTGGCACATCAAGCCACTCATTCACAGGAGAAGTGTCACCAGAGAAGCCCTCTATCTCCTTGAGCTTCCTTCCGGACTCACAACTCTTACGTCTGCAGATAAGACACAAATGTCTTAAGACAGGTGGTACGTTAGTTCAAATGTTTAGGTATCTCACCATTCAATTTAAAGTCACAATGTAATTCCAAAATGATACCGACATACAGATTTCATGGCGCAAAACACTGGTTGGTTATCCTGTAAGATCTTTAAAAACAAACCTTGTTCCACTATTTTGTGCGTGGCTGTTCCACTCCTCAAAAGGTTCCTAGTGTTTGCTTGCAATGTCAGTGCAACTTTTTGAGGTATAAGCCACTATCAAGAGATCAATAAAGAACGTTTTCCTTTTTTCTTTCCTTTTAATATTGATAACATTTATAAATGTATTTCTTTTAAAGAGGACGAGGTTTCTGTTCTGGTGATAACACGTATAAGAGATGCACACATATGTGCTTGTTTACAGGCATGCACAACTAACCTGGCATCGACTGAAGATGTCTGCAGGGGTGAGGTGGACGTGGAAATGTCTTCTTCCTGCGCATGTTCTACTGAAAACAGCAGTGGCACATCAAGCCACTCATTCACAGGAGAAGTGTCACCAGAGAAGCCCTCTATCTCCTTGAGCTTCCTTCCGGACTCACAACTCTTACGTCTGCAGATAAGACACAAATGTCTTAAGACAGGTGGTACGTTAGTTCAAATGTTTAGGTATCTCACCATTCAATTTAAAGTCACAATGTAATTCCAAAATGATACCGACATACAGATTTCATGGCGCAAAACACTGGTTGGTTATCCTGTAAGATCTTTAAAAACAAACCTTGTTCCACTATTTTGTGCGTGGCTGTTCCACTCCTCAAAAGGTTCCTAGTGTTTGCTTGCAATGTCAGTGCAACTTTTTGAGGTATAAGCCACTATCAAGAGATCAATAAAGAACGTTTTCCTTTTTTCTTTCCTTTTAATATTGATAATTGAGGTTTCTGTTCTGGTGATAACACGTATAAGAGATGCACACATATGTGCTTGTTTACAGGCATGCACAACTAACCTGGCATCGACTGAAGATGTCTGCAGGGGTGAGGTGGACGTGGAAATGTCTGAGAACGTGCACGGCCTGGTCACGTGCCTTTTCTGAGCAGTCCAGAGTCAGGCAGCGGCCCTCTCCGACCTGTGAGCGTAACTATATACACACAGACACACACATACACACAAAGTCACTGCACAGGTTTTTTGGTAAGCAGACTGGGGCTCTGTACTAAAACCTATTGAGCTGCCTACGGAGATAAACTACTTATGTAGGCAGTAGGATGCAAGACAGCTCACAGAGTTTGCATGTCTCCCAACAACTCAAACACACACTTACTGTTTGGTAGGGCTGACCAGCGGTGAGGATGACACGACCTTCAGCACGAGCCAGCTGGAGGATAGAACATAACATGATGCAAGTACATTACTTTATTAACAATATATTAATTCCATTGCTATTTTTTTTTCCAGATAATAAGTTAGTTATGTTTTGACACAACTACTAATACAGAGATTTACATAAAAGAGGACACCAATAAATTCTTTAAACTTCAGAAGGAATTTTCCTTAAATTTCTTTGCAGCCGAATACAACAACATCTGTCTTTATTTAACTGTAGGAGACTCTATGGGGCTATAGACACTTGACGATAGCACTACTGTACATAGATCTGGGAGCCTAACTTTGGTACGCATTTCTGTTTTCTTGCATTATTTGGCCTTGTGTGGGCATATACAGGTTAAACATCACAGATCCAAGGATCGAGACCTGAGGGACACCACATGCCATCCAGGTCCACTCAAATTTTGAGTTACTTATTCTTTCTAAATATGATCTTAGACAGCTGAGGACCATCTTATAAAGACCTATTAAGTTTAAAAATTAAATTTAACTAAAATGGTTGTGTCAAATGTCAACACCGGGTGACTGATTGTCTCACCTCTGCTGCTACTTTATGGTCATCTGTGTTTTCTAGCATCTTGACGTCCACCCCCAGACAGCGCAAAAAACGTCCCAGACCCTGCAGCATGTTATCACAGACCACTCGCAGCTCTGGTGGTGTAATAGTGGGCCCTTCATACTCCGAAGTCATCTTTAAACAGTCATCCATAGAGTGGGGCTCATTCGCCTTCTGCCGAGCCTGAAGATTAAAACACACTACAAAATCATTGGTGAAGATGAAATTACTTGACCTTTCTATAACCTAAACTGCTCTAAAGATTGTGATCCACTATAATACATAAAGAGAAAATTTTGGGCAGGCCAAACAGTATTACAGGGCCTGTCACAAAACTTCCAATTTTTTCCATGGGTTCTTTAAAGTAAATTATAAATTATGCATTAAATATGCAGCGACTTTAAATGATAGATTATAAAATAAATGGGAAAATTATTATATATAATCTAATAATACACAAAGTGACTAATGACATAAAAACCCCACAAAAAATAAACCGTTTTGAATGTTTGCCACATTTATAGTTAGATCCCTTAAGTTTTTCACCATAAAAACTCCACATGTTCTCATCAGCTACTTTTATATTGAATTTTATGACAGTAACTATGACAACAGAGCAATTTTCAGGACTACAGGCTCATAAAAAGCACAGTCAGAGACCAGTGGACTGACCTCTCTTCTTTTAGACTGCTTGTTCTTCTCTTTGAGTTTCTTTTCCTCACGGCTCTTGGCCGGTTGGGCTGAGGGAATGGAGCGGAGGTCCTCTGGCAAACCAAATGCCTTTGGGTCCCGAGAGAGGACGAGGTAGACATCTAGCAGGCAGTACGCATCAGTGACTAAAAAAAATGGTCACAAAAAGAGAATGAGACCAGGTTTGAAAATGCCATGCCACTACTCATGAATTGTGTGTTACCTGCATAGCGGAGTTGGCTGGTCCGGAGAGGTCGGCGTTCCCAGTTGGAGAGTTGCTCAGTTTTGTTCAGTGGTTTTCCTAATACCTGCTGCACTAGCAAACTCAGGCCCTTCTCCGCTGGTCCCTCACTTACTTCCACTGACCGACATCCTTTGTTTCCCAACCAGCACCGTTGAAGCTGGGGGGACAGAGGTCAATTGTATAAAAAATCAACATAGGTTTTAAAATCAAAATATGGTTAGAAATATCCAATCAGCAATGGTTAGCTGGGGGTCATTTGTAGCAGCACCTCCTGATGGACATGAAGCAGGTCCAGAACTCCTTCCATTTTCATTGGCTCTTCCCTGAGCTCAGGCCACGTGCTGACCAGACTCCGCAAGTCTCCAGACATCCCATAACCTAGATACATACATACAGCTAGCAATGCTTTTCAAAGAAGAAGACAGAATTACCATGTCTTTCCTGATAGCAAACCCATAGTTTATTAACACAAGAAATATGAAGAACATCAGAAAGTCAGTGGCTTAATTTGCCTCAAGGTTTCCTACCCAGTTTGAGGATGTTCTTGTCTGACAGCAGAGCTCTGATGAAGTTCACTGTGGTGCTGTGGTGGCTAATGGCGTGAGCACAAAGGTCCAACAGAAACGCCCGATCCTGTACGGCCAGCTGGATCAGAGCCACACGCTGAGAGGATACTGTGCCAAAACCGGCTCTCCATTCCATGTCTATTCCCACCACACAACCAGGCTGAAGAAGAATGAGGAGAGACAGCTACAGAAGACATATAATGCAAAAAAGGATCTTCCTTGTTCTTTGAAAATAGCCTAATTAAAATTGATGTGACAATATAAACTACATCAATACTCAGAGGTTAGCCAATCATAACAGAGATCTTAAAGGTCATTGGCCATTTGTTGCTGAGAAAATAAGGAAAGTGTGTTCAAGTGCCAGCAGAAAACAGTGTAAAGAAATAGTCTTTGAGAGAAGCAGTCTTTATCAGCGGAAGTTAAAAGCAGCTCGTAAGTGTATTTACTTGTCTCATTAGTGTTTAGTGCAGTTGTCGTTGCTAGGAAATGCTTGTTTTGTTTATTGTGTGGAGACGTGCTGATATCGTGTTTGGTCTCGGTATTTATAAAGTTTTAGCTGTTAGTTTTGGATCTGGTTTTTTAGTTGTTTTAATACTACAATTGATTGCTTCTGTTGTCCTCATTTGTAAATCGCTTTGGATAAAAGCGTCTGATAAATGACTAAATAAATAAAAGGTACAGTAGCAAAGGGTTACCTTTAAAACAGCTTCTCTGCACTGCTTAACTTCATTTAATGACTCTACAAAGAGGACGTTTTCTCTGGGCAGAGGCAGCTGGTAGTATTTTTGCTGATCAGAATGAAGAGGTGTCCAAGATTCGGGTGGGCCGCTCACAAAACACATCTCTCTATGACAAGATGACAGGAATATACTTGTGAGGTTGATGGTAATATGTGTGTGTACTTGGGCTTGTAAGCCAAAGTATCTTTGCAAACAGTGCCAAAAACAGACTTGTGTCAGAAGGTTTGTGTGAGGGTTACAGTAAATATTATTATTATTGGAATGGAAATCATTTATGAGAGGTCTTCACAAATGTAGTTTCTTAAGTCTCTCTGTGTGTGTGTGTGTGTGTGTGTGTGTGTGTGTGTCTGAGAATGAAGAGGTGTCCAAGATTCGGGTGGGCCGCTCACAAAACACATCTCTCTATGACAAGATGACAGGAATATACTTGTGAGGTTGATGGTAATATGTGTGTGTACTTGGGCTTGTAAGCCAAAGTATCTTTGCAAACAGTGCCAAAAACAGACTTGTGTCAGAAGGTTTGTGTGAGGGTTACAGTAAATATTATTATTATTGGAATGGAAATCATTTATGGGAGGTCTTCACAAATGTAGTTTCTTAAGTCTCTCTGTGTGTGTGTGTGTGTGTGTGTGTGTCTGTGTGTGTGTGCATTTGATTTAATACTTACAGCTGCTTCTTGCGGGAGAGGCTCTGAATTTTGTCCCAGACTCCTAGGGGAAGCCTGTTTCTGGGTAAGTTGTAATGTGCAGCCCACTGGGCAGCGTGTATAGGTAGTATTTATAAAGTTTTAGCTGTTAGTTTTGGATCTGGTTTTTTAGTTGTTTTAATACTACAATTGATTGCTTCTGTTGTCCTCATTTGTAAATCGCTTTGGATAAAAGCGTCTGATAAATGACTAAATAAATAAAAGGTACAGTAGCAAAGGGTTACCTTTAAAACAGCTTCTCTGCACTGCTTAACTTCATTTAATGACTCTACAAAGAGGACGTTTTCTCTGGGCAGAGGCAGCTGGTAGTATTTTTGCTGATCAGAATGAAGAGGTGTCCAAGATTCGGGTGGGCCGCTCACAAAACACATCTCTCTATGACAAGATGACAGGAATATACTTGTGAGGTTGATGGTAATATGTGTGTGTACTTGGGCTTGTAAGCCAAAGTATCTTTGCAAACAGTGCCAAAAACAGACTTGTGTCAGAAGGTTTGTGTGAGGGTTACAGTAAATATTATTATTATTGGAATGGAAATCATTTATGGGAGGTCTTCACAAATGTAGTTTCTTAAGTCTCTCTGTGTGTGTGTGTGTGTGTGTGTGTGTGTGTGTGTCTGTGTGTGTGCATTTGATTTAATACTTACAGCTGCTCCTTGCGGGAGAGGCTCTGAATTTTGTCCCATACTCCTAGGGGAAGCCTGTTTCTGGGTAAGTTGTAATGTGCAGCCCACTGGGCAGCAGTCTGGAGGCTGCAATGTTTAACCAACAGCTGCACCAACTGAACCTGGAGCTCTGTATTGCCTTCAATCAAGGCCTGAGATCACAACACACACACACTTTTTAAAAACTCAAATTAAAATTTTAAAGTGTTTAATTAAAACAGAATTAGTGTTACCTGAACATGGTCTCTCCAGTTCTCTTCCGACATGCTTTTCTGACAAATAAAAAACAATAAAGCAGACTCATCACTGCAGTTCTTAAAACTTTAAACTCTGTAATGTGATTTTTGAAAGCACAAAATATTTAGTGGTAAGTAAAGGGTGAGACTTTATTTTATGAATCAAGATTTGATTGGTTTATAAGTAACTAAAACAACATTTCAGTTTTTTTCCCACCAAAGTGGCTTTATATTAGCTTTATATTGTTCATCATGTAATTTTAGAGACAGAAGATGTTACATTTGATTGCATCATTTTCCATCCTATCTATTAATTTATTGATATTATCAGGATAAAAGAACTGCCATGTCATAATAAAGAAACAAAACTATTTTTTGGTGATTGACGGACTGATTTATTTATTTGCTTGGCATAATCATTTATTATTGGTTCTTTAGAAAAAGAGTAACATTTTAATAAAAAAGCTTTACTAATTATTTATAATTTATTAGTAAGCTACAGAAATTATTTATAATAAATTTTCTAAAAAATACATTTCATTTTTAAAAGTTAATTACCAATCTTATTAAGCATTATATTTAAATCATTATTACCAATTATTATTCGTGATATTGATATTATTGATTTTTGAAAAACCTGTCCACAAAATCAAAGGCATGTGGTTCAACCAACATGCAGACACAAAAACCATAAAACAGGAAATTACATTATAGAGAGGAACCCCTGCAAACCCTAATGACTGTGTGCAAAGGTCAAGAAGTCTCTCAAAACATCAGAACAAGTTGTAAAATGTCAAGTGGTGCGACTCTCCAAAACCCTAACAATATTTATAAATTAATAATTCATTAGATTTGTAAAACAAATAGGTCTTGCCTTAAAAATATATATATAAAAACATTAAAAAGCAATGAGTAAGATATGTACACTCACATTTATTCGCGCTTGATTATTATTTAATATTCTTTCTTGACGGTTACACTAGTTGAAATATTTTAAGTCACAGAAGTGAAACTAACATGAATACAAAGAGTTGATTTCTAAGAACCTGACACTTAAAAAGAATAAAAAAAAAATAAAAAAAGGGCTGTGAAAAAGGGGAACCTTCTCACCTCGCCAAAGGTTTTGTACATGAGAAACCTCAGTGAATCCAGCTTCCTCTTATAGACAGAATTAGAGCACAGACCTGTAGCAAACACACCCCGGGGGACCAATGTAAACATCACATACACACACACATTCATAAACCTACACACTTGAGATCAAACAGCCGTGGAGTGAAACGCACACACACCGGGATCAATGCAGAATTTCTCCATGAGTCTGAACACATGTTTACTGAGCAGCTTGGGCTGGATCTGGTCCGTCTGGTGTTTTGAGAGAACCACGTCTGGGTACTGACTGAAACCACACAGTGCATACATATTATGCATTGTTTATTAATTATACATAGTTTTGCAGAAGTAAAGATCAGGCATCAAAACTCTAAAATGTATAGTAGAAAAGATGAAAATGATAAATGATGGATACATGAGTATTATAATATGAAAGAACAGACTATTATTATTATTATATTAAAGGTGAAATACACATTTTATCAATAAAACGTACTGTAGAAAAGGAGGATGAAAAACAAATGTAAAAAATAAACCATTGATATTATTATGAATTAGTGAATTAATTAACTTTTTCTTATGTAAAAATCTGGCATCAAAACACTAAAATTTACATGAAGCTGGATGAATGATAAATTAATCATCATACGAAAGAACAGATTATTATTATTATTGTTATTGAATAATAAGAAGAAGAAATTCATGAATCACAAAAATAATAAATAGTATTAATGTTGATTTGAAATCAGGCATCTGAACATTACAGTAGGAAAAATGTCTCTGATAAATGATGGCTAAATGCGTGCAATAAAACGAGAGAATATGAGAGAAACGTATTATTAATATTAATAATAATATAATGTAATAACAGTAACATTATTCAAAGGTACTATACTATAATATTATTGTAATATTAATAGCGGTGTTTCAATAATAATTGAATTTCCAGGTTCAAAAGATTTTTGCATAAAAGAAATCAAGCGTAATTAAAACCATTTTTTTGTTTTGTGACATTAATGGCAATTAAAAACATTTGGCACTTTCTCCCTAAAAGTTCTTAACACTATAAAGAGATGAAAGTAATGCACAGGCAGGGTGTTAAAATTGTAACATTATATTTTCAAACTTTCAATAATATTCAATATATATGGTATACATATCTCAATATATACACATTTGCTTTAATTCTGACCTGAGCAGTGCCTGCATGTTGAAGTTGGGCTCGCACCAGGAGTCCAGCAGTGAGACCAGACGCTGCTGCAGGTCAGGATGCTCACGCACATACAGCTCCGCCAGAGACAGCTTGTCCAGCAGAATGAGAGGAACACACATCTAACAGCACCAACAGAGGACAGCGGAAATGAGACGGCCCAGCTTAAAACAGTGAAGGTCCAGCTACTCATCAAGCTGTGTGAACTGACCTTCTCCATCTCCAGATCTTTCTGCAGTTCCACTTTGACACTGAACACCAGCGCCTGTCATAACACACAACATTTCATGTCATTACAGCTGCTTATGTTGCACAATATCTTTCAATTATTAGTAATTGAAAAGACTGATTATATTTCATATTCATAATAAAATAATAATAATAACTCATAATTAAAAAATAAGTAATACATATTAATAAAAAAAAAAGGATTAAACAGCCTAATTTAACTTGGAGTATGCAAAATTCTCAATTGTAGATTCCTTTTTTTATTATGTAATTGTCATAAAATAATATTACAATGAACAATTAATAGTAGTAAATAATTGTAATTTTTTTAAATTATGAGCAACATTTAAATTAAATTAAATTAAATTAAATTTTATTTTGGGGTGAACAAATGTTTAATTCCCGCATTTAATGATAGCAAATATATATATGTTTTTTTATTTTGTTTATTTAATTGTCAAAATAATGTTACAAAGTAAAATTAATAGCAGTAAATAATTGTAATCTTTGTTTTTAATTATGAGCAACATATTTATTTATTTGTTTGTTTGATTAATTTGGGGGGTCCAATCTGACCTAGACATAATTTTGATTCCTGCATTTAATGATAGCAAATATGACGCATATTAAATTTATTAAACATTTATTTTTAGACAGTTACTCAATTCACACAAAAAAAGAATATGCGACCTCAGAATTCTGTCAAAAAAAAAAAAGAAACAATAAATTAATATAAATAAAATACATTTTGTACTATTATGTATATATTTTGTTTATTTATTTAAATAAATAAATATTGCCCATAACTGACCTTACTATATTTTTTCTACTACTAGCAACTATTTTCTTTTTCTTATATCACTGTATTGGAACATACTGCAAAAGTGTCACTCAGCTGGTGATGACTTCCTCTCACCTCTTTGAAGCAGCAGCAGTCATGAAGGAAGTCCACGTGTTCCAGCAGCAGTGGTCTTTTCAGTGAGCTCAGCTGATAAATCTCCAGCAGGGGGTCCATGTACCCGGGATGAGAGTCTGTGAGGAGCCCCAGGGCTTTCTTCTGCAAACGCAGTCTCTCTTCTTCCCTCAGGCCATTCAGACTAGCCTGGGGATTACTGGTCCTCCAGCGCATAAACTCTGTGAGAATGAACTGGTGCAGCGTGCTGGACTTGCCCTTCTGGACGGTAAGCCAGCCCTGCAGGAAGCCCAGCAGACCAGCCAAGGGCACCTGCATCTGTGAGAAACTGCTCGCTAAAAACTGACGCAGCTAAATAAAATAAAATAAAATAAAATAAAATAAAATAAAATAAAATAAAATAAAAAATAATAAAATGCATTGATTAATACATTTAAATTACTTCCATTTTTTTTAAGTTAAAAAAAAATTTCTGTGGTCATAGACGTTATACCATAAATGCAAACGATAGAACTCAACTTGCAATCATTCTTTTAATTCAATGCGTTTACAACTTTGATTATTGCATTTAAAGTCTAAATTATCCTCATAAGGGCTGAAGAAGCAACCGAAACCTGTGGGGGAGGGCACATTTTAAATGTAGGGGTCTTTTTGAAAAGTATTGAGTATGTCCTAAAAATTGGGGGGAGTAATACAGGGATTTTGAGAAAGTGGTTGGCTAGGCCTCTCTCTTATGTGATCTTATCACGAGCGTCTCACCTCTCATGAGACGCTCACATGCTCAGCTGGAGTACAATTACATGTTTCTTACCTCCTCCTGCTCTTTCCTGCTCCACATGCCGCAGAGGTGCTCCTGCAGGGCAGGCAGGTCAACACCTGGGGCAGCACACATGACAGCAGGGTTACACACAGTCACACTCAGTCTGTTTTCACTCCACCTCACAAATTCTCACGCTGACTGTACTGCATTTTGCAACTTTTGACCATTTTTTATTAAAGGTCCCATATTGTACACCTTTCTGGAGTTTTATTTGAGGTTTTGATGTCCTTAAGAATATATATTTGCGGTATAAGTACCAAAAACAATCTCAATATATTTTTACAGCTCCTCTCTCAGGAGCTCTGCTGAGAACAGGTTGATTTTGGCCTGTCTAATTAATATTCATGAGCCCCTCTTCTGATTGGCCTGTTGTTTTCTGAGTGACGCACGGCCAGGCCAACCACAGGTAACTAGTGTCAGCCGATGTCACAGCGCTAGCTGGAGGCAGCAAAACAAAGAGGAAACTGGAGGCGGCCCATTCAAACCAGCGCAGATTCGGCTACATGAGCTTAAAATATCATCTTGTTGTGATGTTGGGTGCCAGAATCGACGTAATACAGCCTCAAATTAGAAATTTGATCGCATATCTGCTGCCACTGCCAGACAAAAAACCGACGACATCTGTGGTTAAACGAGCAGACTGGACAGAAACGATCGTCAAAAATGCTCTCGTTTGCAGCGCACACTTCTTTTCAAACATGGTTTAATAACGTAGTGTCTTTTGTTGTTATGGGCGTGTCTACAGATATCTTGCCATATGTCTATGTTTCTTGCATCTCACGATTATGTCGTGTATGAAATAATGTCTGTGTGCATGTATATAAAACAACAAACTGACGATTTCTATATAATCATTTGTAATTGTATATACATTGTTGTGATTAATTGTGGCTGGAACAATAATGTAGCTGTAAAAATAGTTTCCTGCTGAAATTGAAATGTATATACATCTTCATCATGACTAGATAGACACGGTGAGTTTGTCTTTACTATACATGTTAGATGTGATCCACCTCATAGTAACAATCCTGTCAGATCGTCCATCCTTTGAGTGAGAGTGTAACATTACAGGTCGGCCGATCTGGTTTCGTGGTTAAAGTTAACCTTTTCGACATGTTTCCGTGTTGTCCTTGCTCTGCAATAGCATGGACGCGATGTTGTCTGGGGGTTTGGCAAAAGGAGGGTGGGACTGTGGGCGGTGCTCGGGGTGGTGACTGAAGGCGGTGACTGTGTAGTTCTGACGTCAACTATTTAAGGAAGTCACAACGGTTCGTGAAAAATAGCTAGAACTTTAAGCGGGCTGTGTGAATTTTACGGTGGACTGACTGTTTTGAATCTTATATGGTGGTTAAATAGCCCCTAGACCTCAGTAATTGTGAAAAAAGCCAGGAAATTCCAGTTTTGACAATATGGGACCTTTAAACCGTTAAAGCAGAGTGTGATAGAAAGTGTTGCAGGCCAGACTCAAACTTGTTTTTCCCATATCAGCACCACAGCTCAAAATGCCATTGCTCATTATTCTCAATCCTTTTCCAATTCAAACTGTTTTTTTTTTTTTAATCAAGATATACTTTAATTTATAATTAAAAGGCTCATCCAACTCAAGTGAATTTGGAGTGGGACTGCCTGTTTGACAGATGAGGGACTGTTTGAAGGCATACATTATTTCAACAAAATTAACCACTTTACTTTACTTGAAATTGCACATGAAATTGTTTTGAAACACTGGCTCAACCAACGGCATGAGTTTGGGGCAAGACTAATGGCAGAAGAGGAAAAGTTTGAAAATCGACATTATTTCTGCAGATCTCTCCAGCATAAAAGTGAAACAAATTAAAATGTGTTCACAATTGCAACCCATTGTACATGTTTCAGAATATTCAACAAGTAAAACCTGATCCGACCACAAAAATGGCCTCTATTTGACAGGTAGTTGGAGGGAAGGCGATGAAATATCAGCCGAAAATGAAAGTCATTACATTTTTATGTAAACTTCGTAACAGGAAATGTTGCAGGCTGGACTCAAACGTGTTTTCCCCATTTGAGCACCACAGCTCAATGTGTCAAGAGCATGTGGACTGCTGGCGGTTTAATGATTTTTCAAGTGTTGGCTTTTCTTTTCCAGTGTGAACTAATTTCTTTATACAACATTTTTAATCAATATATATATATATATTTATTAATATGTAATAACGTTGGCTCAACCAATGGTCTTAGACAGGAATACCTCTTTTAACCACTTTGGCTGATGAGAGAATGTTTTTAAACTGACATTAGTTCTGCAAATCTTTTTGGTGCAAAAAAATAAATAAATTCCACTTTAAATTCCAAGTGAACTGCATTCTGAGTCACAACCCATTTTATTTCTGCATTGTGACATATTTCTGAATTTTCAACAAATAAAACCTGATTTGATCGTAAAAAATGGTCTCTATATGGCAGGTAATTGGTAGGGAAAGCACAAAAAGTCAGTCAAAAGTCATAACATTGATGCAAGACTGCGAACAACATTGTAACGGCAGACGTTGCAGGCTGGACTCAAACTGTTTTTTCCCACATGAGCACCACAGCTCAATGTGTCAAGACTGCGATGGTCTGAGGATTTTATAAAAATGTTGTCATTCCTTTTCCAACACAAACTGATTTCTATATTCAACATTTTTAAATCAGGGTCTGAATACTTAGGACCATGTGATATTTCAGTTTTTCTTTTTTAATAAATCTGCAAAAATGTCAACAATTCTGTGTTTTTCTGTCAATATGGGGTGCTGTGTGTACATTAATGAGGGAAAAAAATTTACTTAAATGATTTTAGCAAATGGCTGCAATATAACAAAGAGTGAAAAATTTAAGGGGGTCTGAATACTTTCCGTACCCACTGTATATTATATTATATGAATGTATACATATATGCATAAGGGTGGGACTACCTGTTTGACTGGCTAGTGGCAGATGAGGGAACGTTTAAAAACAACAATTCCCACAGGTTAAACAGTTCACTTGACTTGAAAGTCCAAATGCATTTGCAAACTGTCTTTCCACAATATGACCTTATTTCAACAAGTAAAACCTGACTGGTTTGACCATAAAAAGTGGTCTCTATATAGTTGTAAAAAACTGGTTGAAAAATCAGCAATGACAGCTGAAAAAGAAATGCATTATATTTTGATAACGGTTGCAAACACTTTTTTTTTTTTTTTCTTCAGTAAAATGCACCAATGAATCATTAATAAGGCTAGGAATGCATGAATGTTTTGTTTTCGTATTCACTTTTCCCGCCACTCTAAGACTTTACCAACTTTTCCTTTTAAATCCAGGATACAGGCTTAACTATATCACTTCCATTGTAATGCACTCCTTGACTCTTTTTCCCCAGTCAGCTATTGTTACATGTGGATACTTCACACCGCATTTGAATCGAGCAAAAAGGGCCCGAAAATGAACATTTAATACGCGTAACAGGGAAAGAAAGGAGGAGTCTATTGTTGTGTGTGAGGTGTTGGGCCTTTGTATTTTGGGCAGTGATTCCAGGCCACAAAACTGTGAGATGAGGAGCCATATTTTTGAGGAGGAAGACGGGGGCGAGATAGGACAGGCTGGTGACAATGAGGT